TTTAGCCAAATTTTTGGTTAATTAAGGTTTATGGAATATGAGGTTATCTTATATTCCGTGTTAGTCATACCCTTAGTACTAGGGTGTGACAGTTTACCCCTCAATATTTTAACTTCCAAACTTGATTTCCCAAGCCAAAATGGTATCCAATTGCTCAATCTACAATTAAAAAATTCTAAATTTCATCAACAATGTCAAACACCCAATTTCAACTCTCATTTTCCACTTCTAGATTATTCAATGCCCATATTTTTCACATTTAGGCATACCCATTAGGTTTATTAACTATCTTCAACTCTCAATATTATTAATGAACCATTAAACTTCCATTAATGATATTACAACTATTCCAACAACTCTCATTAAAGCCATTTTTGGATATTTATGGCATTTACCAACAAAGATGTCAAAGTTCATCATCAATAGTTTTGCATACTCCAATCAATTCTCATTAACTCCATTTGAGTCAATGGGTCTATGCGCCATGGTGGACGTGCTGCATGTCACGGCATGTGGCACAAAGACATTCCTTCCTATTTTCCTCCTCCTTTCAATGCTCAAGTGGCCTGACTTTACTTCAAATCCTTAATTTGGGCTAAAAACACAAATGAATACAATTATTAAACCTCTTCAACCACACACCACATCAAAACACTCATTTGTCTCTTGTATTTGTCTATCTCATTTTAGAGATTTCTTGCATTTTGAATCTTCTAGTATTTGAAAAAAAAAGTATTAAAAAGGGTAATTTTGTAAATTAATTATAATCTAAATATTAAAAAAGCTATTTTTAAAATTTAAAAAAGAATAGATTAATTTTTTTACTTAATTTTATAATATAGGCTATCTGTGTAAAAGTTCCTTTTCTAAACTTGATATTTGGCCAAAGAAATAGGGACTTGAAGCAAATTAATTATGACCAGAGATCATGCACATTGCCATCTCATAACCATGAGTCATTAGGGACGGAGATGCGAATGCGATGGGGTCAGTGTCCAGAGTGTATACAGGACAGAATGTTAAGGCCAACTGCAAAGATAAAGGCGTCGATTGATTTCTCTGTTGCAGGTACAACTCCCTCTGTCTCATCACTCTTTTTCTGTTTTCGTTTTCAGCTACCAAGCGTAAAAAATTATCCAATCACCCCTATCATCTTCTACAATCCAAAATAATTAAATTCATAATTTATACATATTATATTAGATTACTCTCGACACTTCTTTCTAAAAATCAATTCCAGAATCTGCCCCCAAAAAAAAAATCAATTCCAGAATCCAATATATTAGTCAGGGTCAAGAGTTCTACCCATTTCCCAAATGGGTTTTTCTTCTCGACTTAATAATTAGAAATTGCGAAAAAACATGCTTCCTCTATCAGCAAAGTGGAAAAGTTTCCAATAATGCTTTCATTCCTAGCTAGTCACGGTCAAAGAACCTCTCCACTCTAATTCATTTTTTACCCTCTTCTCTTAATTTATACAGAAAATTAAACAGTGACCCCCTTATCAACAAAACATGAAAAACCGAAACAAGTGGGGAAGGATACAATGAGTTTGTTTGTTTTCTGTTTTTAAAAATTATTTTTATTTTTCAAAACAGAAAAATTTAAAAACTTATTTGGATAAGTGATTTTCGTTTAATTGTTTCTGAAAATATTTTCATTTCTTATTTTTAAAAACAAAAAAATAGAAACAACTTCAAGTTGTTTTCATTTTATTTTTCTTATTTTTAAAATACAATGCTTTGATTATTGAAAATTATATTTACCTTGATTAATTTTTATTATTAATCACTACTATTAACTGTCTATAATCATCACTATTAGTCCATTTTTTAATTCTAAAACTGTTTTTAATTTATGTAACCAAATGGATTTTAATTTCATTTTACTTTGAAAACTATTTTAAAAACTATATTTCAAAACAGTTTTTAAAAACAATGAATGATAATAAAAACCAAACAAGCCTAATAATTCTTTTATTCTTATCGTGAATGGGTATCAATTTGATACTTTTCAATCATTATTTCTACCTCAAAATATCGATTTATAAGCTTTGAAAATTTTGAACAATACTTTCAATAATACACTGCATTTCCTTGAACTCAATAGTCCATCCAAACACTCATAAATTATATTTATGTTCACCTCACTCCAAGCATTCCAAAAGCTGAGTTCTAAGGCTTTATAAGCTCCTCTTGCAAACTTGGAATCCTGAGAAATCACTATAATCAAATGAAAACTTGGTCAGTTGAGTTAAGCATATAAAAATCTGGACATGACAAGGCCAATTGAGATAGCTCTCCCAAAAAAATTTTGCATTCACAGGAATTTTAAGCTTCCACTTTTACCTTATAATTAACCATCTCTTGTTGTTGATATTTTTTATTTCTTTAAATTTAGAATCCAATTATTTTGATTTGATTGGAAAAAACAGGTTAAGCATATAAATTTAATTACCCATATTTTTTTATAACAAGTTCCTAAACATTTTATTATAAATTGTGTAGAATTAGATGTCATTGAATATTAAGATTTGATAAAAGGATAGAAACTTTTTTTGGCACACTTATAGAGGACAATCTTAAAAATGATGTGTTATTTCAGATGATTTAATTTTGAAAAACCAAAGGAAAAATTGGCTAATATTTACATGTAAATGTTATGCATCATTTTATCAATAAAAATATTTTAATAAACTAATAAATTATATATTTTATAATATATATCACACATAATCCTAGCTAGAGGTTTCCCCATGCCACAACAATCCAATCCAATCTGGTGCAAAATTATCTTGTCTTGATGTAAGAGAAATAGTAAAACCATTAAGAGAGATACCAAAGCCTTCAAAACATCCTGTAGTAGTCCCCTTCCAACCCAATCGGAGCCAAACAAGGTTAATAGCCTAAATTAAATTAGATGAGGAGGATCAAATGAATTATTATAAAATATAAAATTTATACCATTGATGTCACCATTTAAAGCTTCAAAACAAAAAAAAAAAGGTTTTCTTCTTCAATCCGAAATTATTTTCATTTTTTAACTTTCATTCTGGGCCTCAGCTAACCTTTGCAAGTTAAAAGTCATCTTGAATCATGGCCATGACATAGTTCAGACTTTAAATATATGTATATATAGGTTTATTTTTCATTGGCCATAATAATTCATTAATTTTTTTTAGTTTTTACCAATATTTTATATATATATATATATATTACGCTTCGAAATACATGACATTTTCTCCCCACGAAAAATATTGAACAAGTCATAATACTTCCTTAGTCTCAAATTATAACACACTTTTAGATAAAATTTCATATATCAATAAGTTTTATTAATTAAATACACTTAACCACCTTATTCTTTCTAAACAAAAAAAAAACTTTCACAAATACCCTTCATTTAATAACCTTACATTCTACACTTAATTATGAAATTGAAATAGATAAAGGATAATACTAGAATAAGTCTATTTAATAAAACATTAGTCTCCTCAAAGTGTCTTATAATTTGAAATAATAAATCTCCCTCAAATGTATTTTATAATTTGGGTGGGGGGAGTGCTTCCTTTGTTTTTGGATAATATTCATCCAAGACTTATAAATATTTAATAATACAGAAGAGGGAAAATTAAAACCGTGCCCGTGACATAGTTAGGAATGCTTTGAATCCCACATTCCCACCTTTCTAGATTATTATTAATATATTAAATTCCTTCGAATTGGAGCATAGTAATATAAAATAATGATAATTTGTTACTTGTTAACTATCTTTTTTATCCTTGAAATTTTGCGCATTGATCATTAATTTATTATAATCTAATATTCCTTAATTCTTTAGTCGGGATTAATAGTTATGAGGATTGCTTGTTTCCTGCTGTTTCAATTTTTTTTTTTTGGGATTATTTAATAGATACGAAGCATATTTCTTGTATTGTTTAGGCCTTTCAGTTTAATTGTTAGTTTGGATTGTTGTTTTTCTTATTGTTATTTTATGCTTTTCTCCTATCACATCCTCTAGGATTCAAAGCCCAAATTAACATTGTTTCTTTTTGGGTTGTTTATTATGTATTTCATCAATGGTATAAATTTCTGCATGCTAGATACCTATCAGCTGATTCATAGCTTTCATCGTCACAGCCATCACTTGTGCTACAAAGGCTAATCATAGTTCCATGTTTTCAGTTCTAGGATTAATAAATAAGCCATCACAACTCACCTTTAACATAGTTCTAGGATAACCAAGTAACAGAAGCTATCTGAAAATCAGTCAACTTCCTGTCACCGTTTAATAAAAGATAGCCACCATTTTCTAAAATCAATCCCAAACCGAACACACATATAAACAATCCATGCTGAATCCACCCCATTTTCTGTTGAATAAGGCAAGGCCTACTGGTGCAGCTTTATTCATACACCGCCAAACGAAATGCTTCATTTTAGGAAGAACATTTACCTTCCACATCTTTGTCAAGACCACATCAAAACTGGAATTGAAGAATTCAGCCTCATATCAGCGCTTCATCTCTGCATCTTGCACCATAGGAGCCTTTTTTAACAATATAATTCCTTAGCCTTATTCCATTGATGTCTTAGCTTCACATAATACAATTATTAGTAAAAAAATGGTATCCAATTTTATTTAAACAAGCATGTTACCCGTAGTGAAATGTCACTTTTTTTTTGTGAAAGATTCTTTTGATAGAAAACAAAAAGGAAAAAAAAAAAAGTCATCAACCAGCACCGCATTTCTGAATAACCTCTCAACCCTTCTCTTCCTTAGATTTTCTGATTAGCCTAATTGTAATGACCCTAAATTTTAAATTAATTTTATAACAAGTAGAGAGTGATTAATTATTAAAACTCTTACTAGTAATTTTGTTAAAGGCTCGGAGCTTAAATTTTACTAAACAAAAATTCAGTTTTATTTTGTTTTTTAAAAAAATTATAGAAAAAAAATTTGTGCCCTCTCTTGTAATTTTTCTGGTGTAATTTTAATAATTGTTTTAAGCTTTTTATTGTAATTTTTTCAATTCTTCTTAGATCAGATTTTTATTTCTCTTTCTCATCTCACTTTCGAAAACACACCGGACGAGAGAGAGAGAGAAATTTAGGGAAAAAAAAAAAAATCCACCGCCTCTGCTCTTCTCCTATCCCAGCGATCGGGTTCACCGGCGTTCTCGATCCTTCCTTCTCCGCTGGTTAGCTCGACGTCGACAGGTGTGTGGGTTCTGTCCGTGTTGCTGTGTGGATGCTTCAAGGTCCTCTTCCTCTGTTTCTTCGTTGCAGATTTGTTCGAACCTTCCTCTGTAGTCTCGTGAGCTGCCTCCTGCTTTGCTGTTGCAGCTGTTAATGCTGCCATAAGTGAGCTCAGAAGCTTCGTTTCCCATGATTAAAGACTGAAGTTGGTATGGGAGCTAGTGTGTTGCTATCGGGGGTTCGAATGGCGGCTCTCTCTCTTCCCCTGTACCACCGTTGCCATTCTTTTGCTTCTATCTGATGCAAGTATGTCCTGTCCCCCTCCTTGCTCCTTGTTTGTTTCGCGTAGGTGCGTTTAAATGGTAGAAACTGATTCGTTTCTTCCTTTTCTTGCTGCTGTGACAAATGTGGGAAGTGAGGATTTATTTTATTTTATTTTAGTTAAAGCTGATTGATCTATAGAAGAAATAAAACTTGGGAGGTTGATTTATTTCAATATTGATATTAAAGAATTTATGGGAATGGAAGTGGATGGGGACAAGCTTGGTATTAATTGAAGGATTAGTGCTCTTGAGGTGTTCGATGGAATTTTATTAGAAGAGTTTTGTTTGGTTATGTATTTTATGAAATCCTATTAATTATGGTGAGAAGTCAAACTCTATTTGATTGAGTTTTAACTTGAACATTATAAATTAAAGAGCTTGATTTTAAGGTATTGTGTGGTTAGTTGAATCTTTAGAAGTTTTATGTGAGGATAATCTATAACTATGGTATTGTTTTATCATTTGGTTGTAAGAATGCATTTAAGGTGTTAGACAAAATAAGTGATCGAAGCATGGTGAAGTTCTTATGGTTGATAATTATAACCTAAAGTATTGCTTTACGGCTTAAATTTGGGGATGTACCTAAGGTATTCAATAAAGTTAGTAATTGATTGATAGAGTATTTGCTAGTGGTCTGATACACACTTTTAATTAACAATTAATTATGAGAAACTTTGTGATATAAATGATGCTGTTGGGAACATTGAATTATTTGGATTAAATATTGGTTGTGTTAATATTAGAAGAAGTTTTATCGAACTTATGGAAAGTTACCTTATTATTTTTATAGGATGTTTGGAAGAAAACAAACTCAATTAAGGTTGGAAGTAGTGAATTTTGAACATTTGGAGTATTACAGGTAAGTGAAAATATTATTTGCAACAATTTGTAGTATTAATATATATCTTTTTCTAGCATTGTTACTTGTTGATTAAATTTCTTTATCTTTTGAAATTATAAAGCGATGGTGAAGAATATTCATATCATGGCATGTACAAGTATTTTTCTTACGAAATATATTTTCAAGATTTTTGAGATTATTATTAGTTCTGGTAATTTTGGTTACTCAACAAATGCATGCATGGACAGTAGTCATGACATTTTATTTTTGCAAATTTTTAATGCTCAAAGCTATTCATGCGAGTTTGACTTTGAAAATGAAAACTATATTTTTATATTAATGATTTTCTTGCATGTTTGAAAATGAATTTGAAGAGAATTTTATTCAGGACACTGGTTGCTAATAGCAAATCTGTTAGCCCTTAGCGCACCATGGTTATGACTAGCTAGTTCGACTTTCGTGAGCATCATACTCATGTTTGTTTTTCATGGGTTTAATACCTGCATTTGTTTTCATAGCTTTAACCCGCGTTTAGTTAGCATTGCCCTCATAAACTGTGTGTTCACGTTTATTTCGTGGCTTCAGCTGTATTTGGTTACTTACCCTCGTGAACTGTGTGTCCATGTTTGTATTTGTGGCATAAGTCGCATTTGGTTATTTACCCTCGTGGACTATATGTTCGCATTTGTGAATTGTTCTAATAAATCCCTAGAAATATGCATTTTTACTTAATTGGTGATTTCAATTTAATGGTTTTCAATTAGTAATTATTGTTATTCTTATTTATTATTTAATCATTTTGATTTGTTAAGATCAAATGTTAAAGCTACTTTGTCATTATAGATTTCAATGTTCTTATTATTGAAGTTATATAAAATTTTTATTTTAAGTTTACAAATTTATTTATATAGAATTTCTTTCTCATCTAATTTATATAACTATTGTATTTTATTCATTTTGATTGTACAAAATGTTATGGTTGGGACGTTATTCACTGAAAAGTTACTTTGGTCTCAGGTAGCATAGTTGATGCTGTACGGCTTGCTTACCAATGATGGATGTCTTGCTAAGTTGGGTGGAGATTTGTTCTGTAAATATATTTTTTATTGATGTAAATATGAAATTTATGTATTATGTCATAAAAAATGTGATTAGGTGCTCCTCATAGACAATAGTTAGGATCCTTATTTTGCTATATACTTTGTCTATTGGCTGGAAGGAGCAAAGTTCCTGGTTATTGTGATTTTCTAATTGAACATTTTGTTGTAAAATTTTTGGGATGGTCCTATTTATAAGGAAAATTTTGCCAAAATTTCGACAAGAATAGGGAAGCTTCTATGAAAATGATCACGCATGTTATAATTTAATATAAATATAATTTTTAGTAATAGGAAGATTTCTTTTTAGGGCTTAAAGGATGTGTGATATGGTTCACATTCCGTACCGGTCACTCATTTTTCAGGATGTGACACTAATATCATTGGTTAGAATCTTTACTAGAGGGAGTGTTGGTGATATCAAACCTGAGCCAACTAGCTAAAACTTCCAATACCTCCTGCATCTCCCATCTGTCACTCCATTCTGCTCCATTTGCTGATTTTTTTTTTTTTCTTGAAGTAGCATTAAATTTCAGCAGAATCAGTTTCTATAATAGTGACTTTCACTTTTTGCTGTAATATTAATGCTAAGGTTCTTTTGATAGAAAAAACGTCATTCACAAATGGAGATTCTGCTTGCAGCTAGATTACCTTAATTTGTCCTTCACATCGCCTCTTCCAATGTTTCTCACCCTCACTCGTCTTCTCTTCACCTACATTTACCTTCAGCCAACCCCTTGCTTGCCAAAATTCATCAACGGCTTTCCTGATATTATTAATGTTTCTCACCCTTACTCATCTTCACTCCACATACATTCACCTTCAGCTAAACCCTTGCTTGCCAAAATTCATCAACATCTTTCCTAATATTATTAATGACTTTTGTAAGATCTGGTATTTTTTGCTAAGAAAACATCACATTCCTCTCCTTCCATACCAACCACATAATCCATGCAAAATAAGCAAACTGATAATCATCAAACAATTTTTTCAAAGTTCACCATAGTAGTCTCTTCAAGTCTCATACCTAACTCACTGCCAAACCATATTGATTTTGCCTAGATATAAAAACATGGCATGCTCAATTGTTCCCACCTCTTCATAGCAAATTGGACAGAAGGCATTCGTACCCCATTTTCTTTTAGTCAAAGCTTCATTTATAGGAACTGCTCCTGCTAAACACCTTCATAAAAAGTTGAATAATTTTTGGTAATGCCTTCACCTTCCTCACTGTCTGCCAAACAGATTCTTTTATAATAGTAGAAAGCCCTGCTCTTTTAACAGCATTATTCTTCATATCTCTTGGCTCTATAATATCCTTTCTTGACCTCATATTTCTAGCTATTTTTCAAATAACTTCATCATCTCGAGTTACTTGGTTGAGGCATGCCCTTAATTTTCAACAACACTTGGTTTGGTAACAATCCTTCAACAACTTCCACAGACCACCATCCTACCTTTATCACCTCTGCAACTTTTCAGTTTTTCATTTCCCTTGGAACATTGCAATCATCTCCCAGACATCTTTCTAAGTCCATCACCCATCTATTTTTTTCACAATCTAATTCCCTTGCCATTCCTTACTCTCCAAAATAGATATTTCTCAAATAAATTTCTTCCCTCAAGCATACTTTGCCATGTTCATGATGTTTAATGCCCCACTCCATTCTCCATATCTGAGGCTTTGTACTACTTCAGCCTTGCAGCTTTTCCCTACTCTTTCAGTAGTATATGCCAATGCTTGATGTTTTGTTTTATCCTTACACCTTTCCCAAATTATTCAATGTCCTGAATAACCAGAATATTACATACCATGTCCTTTGTATTTCTATCAGTACTTCTAGAAAAAATATTTCAGATTTACTTAAATTTGCCATCTGTCTCGAAGCCCTGCAACAATCATCGATAATCCAGAATATTGGACCACAATATCTAGAATATTGCATACCATGTCCTTTGTACTTGTATCAATATTTCCAGGAAAAAAATTCCACATTTACTTAAGTTTGCCATCTACCCCAAAGCCCTCCAATAATCATCAATAATCTCTCCAAGTTTCTAGCAATTAACTTCACTTGCATTCATAAAATAGGTCTTTTTGGTGAAGATTGGACCGTTTAATAGAATGAAAGATTGTTTGCATAAATTTAAAATTTTAGTGTTATGAATGGTTAAATGTCATGAAAATCATATGTGCATGCCTAAAAATTTAAAAGAGCTTTGCACAATTTATACGTTTGGTTATCTCAAAGCAAAATTGTGTGTCAATAATGAGTTTGACCAATTGTACAAGAGGTATGAATGAGATTATTGAGTATGACGCATCAGTAAAAGTTATGATTGATAAGTAAAATACTAAAAGTAATGATTGATAAGTACAAGTTATGATTGATAAGTAAAATACTAAAAGTTGATGTGCTATCAAGTATTCCATACCAAGCATTTGGGATTTGGTTGGCAAAGAAACACAGCACTGCTTTCTTCTTGTTAGGCTTTCTCGACTTTTGGAGCTTCAAAGACTCAATCAAAATTTTATCAAGTATGAAATATCTATGTGTGTTCTATTCATTGGTTTGTGTATTTATAATTTTCATGACTATAATTTCATTGACAGGTTAAAAAAACATAGTAGCCTCTTTTATTTTTGTGTCAAATGTGCAAAGCTTTTGTAGATATGTTATTTTTTTATTTGTTTTAAATATACTATCTCTTTGGCATTTCTTAGTTTCAATCACTCATTAAAATATTCTGTTAACTTTTAACTAAGTTATCTTAGAATATTATGTTAATACATGTAATGTATCAATGAGTTTTGAACATTCAACCCTATTGTCACACTCCAAAATATGGGAGTGAACAGCATGAGATATATATCTAAACACACATTCCTTAAGCTTAATTAAAGAAATGTTCCATTTTACAAATTCTTTTCATTTAAATGAAATCTTAATATTTTTGTGAAAATTTCAATAGAATCTCCCTTGTAAAAGGAACCTCCCAAAATACTACAATACAAATTTTCAAAGAAATATTATAACTTGTAGGAGCTCAGTTTCTTCCAGCCAATAGTCAAAATATTTACAAAATAAAGAACTTAGTCATAGCTTATGTGGAACGCCTATAACATTATTT